CACACAGAGTCAATACACAGGCAACCTCTGTCTGATCCTCTGCATTTCCTATGCCTCACTTCATTTCTTGCTACAGAGTGGTAGTGAATAAATACTTGCTGTCTTTTCCTTTTGCAGTTTGTTGCAAGATCCTATGCACCTCAAACAACAGACTCAAGAATTGGGCTCAAAAATTAACAAAACAGGTACAAATCCATGACAACATAACTTACTGCTGCTGGCCAGGGATTTTCTGTCTCTTCCTACCCCCTGCTGTTTGTAATACTTCCATGTTTGTCAAAAGAGCTGTTTCATCTTGTTTTTCTTCAACACTACCTGTGTAACAATACTTCTTGTAGTCTTCCAATAGTTTCAAATGTGTAGCTTAGGGCAGAATTTAGGGAGTTTTCAGTTTTGTAGCCAGAATGGTACCTTGAATGTACCTAGTGCCTAGTAAGAACTGGTACATACACAGGTGCCAATGCACCTCATATGAGGCAGGGTTAAGAGCTGGGGTAAGTTGCTCTTGACTCTTGCTGACTAACTCCTGCTCTGTTCCTTGTGAGTAATTCTGCCTGAGCATGTTTCTAGGTGACATCACAACAGGGATATTTCCTTGCAAAAACATCTAGGGACCAGCTACAGTAAACATTGCAGGTGTATTTACAACAATCAGCCGAAGTTCACTGGGAGAGAGAAGAGATAGCATGGGGTGGCAAAGGTGGAGATACTGACAAGGACACACAGTCAGCAAAGCTCATATAGCTTGTCCTAGCTCCCTGGGCTTAAGTATGTTGCTGCAGCCATCAGTTACACCACTTGGACATACATCACTGCTGTTGTCCTGGTTGACACAGCCTAAACCCTTAGGTACAAAGCTGCCAACTGAACTCATGTTGTGCAGTCTGCCCCTCCGTTTCTGGCCTATGTTTGGAGCTCACTCACTCTCTGCATTATCTTTCTTTGTAGGTGCAAGCAACACTGATGAGTGGAGACAAGGGATTGCACAGACACATGAGCTCCACCTTGGAGGCAGGGGATTTCTCAGGCACATGAGCTCCACTGTAACATGTGAGCAGGAAGAGATGTGAGAGGCTGTAACATGTGAGCAGGAAGAAATGTGAGCTGCTGGGTGACACTGATTAGTCCACCCCTCAGTCATCCTGTCCTCCCACTCAATCTGCATGTTCTAAGCACCCTCTGAGTGACTGCAGCAGCAGGATTGGCAAGTGGGGAAAAAAAAACAACACAACAATAAAACAGAGATAGAGAAAGCAACAAGCAAGGTAGCATTTGCTCAGCAGCAGCATGGTCCTCGAAGAGCAGAGAAAGTCTACCATGATGACAGGGGGCAAAGATGCCTGAAAGCACAGCGCAGGAAGGATCTTCTTGCTTGGTCCTGCTTGCATTTGAATCTAGCTGAGCTGGGTGGTGACAAAGTGTAGAGTGAAGTTTGGCTTCAGCTCTGAGCAGATCTAGCTCTGTTGTTCAGGGTTCTTGCACCAGGCCTACTTGGACAATCACTCTTTATAAAGAACTGGTGTGTGGAGAGGCAGACGGAAGAGAATTCTCTTGCTCTCCGAGTCACCTAATCACAGTTTGAGCAGACAGTGCAGCAAATCTTTCTACCTTCAGCCCTATAATGCTTTTTGAGCACCCTAATATGATGATCTTACAGGCCTTTCCTTATCTTAAAAAATTACTAATCCATGAACAGCTACTCTAGTGAGATGTGAACTAACCGAGTGAGGCCTTACAGAGCCCTATAAATTATTTAAGGTATTTTTAATTAAATTGTTTTGTTTTGTTTGTTTGCTGTTGTTGTTTTAAGCAAGACAAAGCAAGCATACTCAACTCTGAACCTGATTTGCTCAGTGGAGAAGCATTGCAGTTATACAGTCCCCTATCCTGTGAAAAGTCAACATCAGCACTCTGCTGATGCTTGCAAAGACTCTTCTTCTCATAACACTCTTCTTTTTTAATTTTAGTTTTATCTTGTAAATGTATGGTTCTTAGGAAGCTGGTGTCCAGAGCACTGGCTAGTTGATGGGACAGCATTCTCCGCTGTTACTGACTGCCAGAATTTCACAGGGTTTTTTCTACCTGTAGACTCAGAACCATAAAAAATCTCAAGTTGGAAGGGGCTCATAAGCATCATTAAGTCCAACTCCCTGCTCTTCACAAGACTACCTAAAATGAAACCGTAGGACTAAGAGTATTGTCCGGACACTCCTTGAATTCAGACAGGCTTGGTGCTGAGATCACTTCCCTGGGAAGCTTTTTCTAGTGTCTGACCACCCTCTCAGGGAAGAATCTTTTCCTAGTACCCAAACTGAACTTCCCATGATGCAGCTTCATTCTGTTTCCTCATGGCCTATCACTGGTCACTGGAGAGAGGAAATCAGTGGCTGCCCATCTGCTGCCCCCCTTGAGGGAAGTACAGATTGGCATGAGGCCAGCACTTCCAGCCTTCTTCAGGTGGAGGAAACCAAGTGGCCTCAGCTGCTCATCCCAAAACTGCACACAGTACTTGACGTGGGGCTGTACCAGTGCAGTGTGGAGTGGGACAATCACATTCCTTCACCACCTGGCTGTACTGTGCTTTGATGCACCCCAGGGCACAGTTGGTCCTTTTGTCTGCCAGGGCCCTCTGTTGATTCATATTCAACTTGGCATCAACCCAGATGCCCAACTCTCTTTTCTCAGCTCTCCAGCCTCTTGTCTCTAGCCTGTAGGATAAACCAGCATTACCCCATCACTTGTGGAGAACCCTGCACTTGCTCTTGTTAAATTTCATATGGTAGGTAATTGCTCAGCTCTCTTGTTTATCCAGATCTCTCTGTAAGGCCTCTCTACGCTTGAGGGTGTCAGCAGCTCCTCCTAGTTCAGTATCATTGGCAAATGTACTTAACACACATTTGATTCCTGCATACAGATAATTTATATAAACATTAAAGACCAAACGCCATAAAATCAAACCCTGGAGAACCCCACTGGTGATTCAACAACAAGGTAGTTGAGGTAATGCAAGGGAGAGTTGTAGAGAGGTTGGTGCTGGTCTCTTCTCACAGGTAATCAGCGACAGAACAAGAGGGAATGGCTTCAAGTTGCAACAGGGGGGGTTTAGACTGGACATTAGGAAAAGAATGTTCACGAAAGAGTGGTCCAACACTGGAATAGTCTGCTCAGGGAGGTGGTTGAGTCACCATCCCTGGATGTGTTTAAGGGTCATTTGGATGTGGTGTTAGTGGATATGGTTTAGAGGAGAACTTTGTAAAGTAGGGATGGTGGTTGGACTTGGTGATCCCAAGGGGCTTTTCCAAACTGAATGGTTCTATGATTCTATGATTCTATGAAGATAAGCAGCACACTGAATTAAGTAGCTCAGGAAAAAAAAAAAAAAATGTGGGGGGCTACTGTGCAAGGCCTTTACTGGTAATTTCTTTTTTTTTCTTTTTTTTTCTAGGCTGAGAGTCTAGCAGCTCAGAAACACATTTCAGCCCGAAGTAAATAATATAAAGCAGCTTTATTTTACCTATTTTGATGGTCAGAGGCAAGTTTGAGTAGAGTGTACCAGGTGCCTGAGAACTATATTCCAAATAATATCTAGGTCACAGTGATTAGCCTGAGAAGAAGTGAAGCTAGAGATCTTCTTGCTTTGCTTAATAATGATGTCCCAGATTTTAGACTAGGTGCTTGAGGTGTTGTCATCTGACGTTCATGAAGTTTGACCTGCAGAAGCTCCTGCTACTTCAGTATGGCATGAGAAGTGATTTTTTTTTTTTTTGAGTAGGGAACAATAAGCCTCACTGGATACTTCTCAGAAGTGAGGCTAGGGAACCTGTCAAGAAGCAAAATGAAATGTTACAGTAGAGGCTGACAAGAGGAATATTATTATAGATTAGTTCTTGATTAAGAAACATTCTAGAATTTTTGGAAATAAAATTACGGCGTTGCAGATAATTATTATTTTTTTAATGTCTGAATTAATTTGCTTAGGAGAAAGAAAGAACCCTGAAATGGGACATTAATTTGCATTAGGATTGCGAACAAAGGACTTGCTATGGCATGTTTTAATGTTCAAAGCAAACTGCAAAGCAGATTTCTTTTTGTAACAAGGCACTTCCAATACCTATTAATAGGGGCCTTGCCTTTTTTGCATCAAGAAGGAGAACAGGCAGTGGAGAGAAATTCATGAGGCAAAAGAATTACAAGCACAGCTAAATATGAATTGACAATAATCCAGGCCTTAAACAGTGTGACCTAAAGAAACCTCAAATTGTTCAATGCAGAATGCAGTTTGAGAACAAAAGTATTGCAAAATGCTCAGCTCTGGTGTCTTCCTGTGTGTCAAGAGCTAGTAAATATAAAAGCTACAGCCAGGGATAGAGGAAAGGAGAAAAAGAAGAGGTGATTCTCATGGAAACAGCAATTGTTTCACATGGGACACCACAAAACCACCACAAACATGTCTTGGAAAACCAAAACATTCTATACTCATGTAAATGAAAGTATGGGTAATGCCTCTCTCTTCCCCTCTCTCTTGCACCTCTGCCCCTCACCCATTTTAATTTTGAGATTATTAATAATCCATATATATTTCAATTAGGAAAATATATGGGCTTTATTAACAATACAACTTTAAAGGTGTGGGGTTTTTTCCTCTGCTGATTTTTCATAGATTTATAGATCCATAATCATTCACGTCACAGACTGAGGGAGATGAGGCTGGAACAGGATAATAGCCCTTAAATCCCCTTCTCTAAGCACTCAGATCTTCCCTGTCAGCAAGATTAAAACAGTCAACAGCAGTCTTCATGTGTCTATACCCCACACGGAGCTTTCAAAACAACTGGAGTAGTGGCTGGCAAGCAGAAAAATGCAGGCTTTCTATTGCTGTGCCTGATACTGCTGTGATAAAGAGAAAAGAAGATTGTCAGCTTTTGTAGCTTTGGAAAGGACTGGTGTTAGTTCCTTAATCAGGTGAATGCAGAGAAGGTAGAAGAGTGCGGGAATATAGTATGTTGCAGTTTAACATGCAGCGACAATTTCCTTTCCTAAAACAGAAAGGCAGAGAGAGGGAAGCACCAAATGTCCTCCTGCAACCTGACAAGGAGAAAGGTAACAAAGGCATGCATGTAGACAAGCAGAGTGGCTTTTCTGCTGCTGCTCCACAGAAGTCTCAGCACCTACTGCTCTTGGGACCTGAGGGGAATGGCAACTATTATGTGGACGATGAAGATGAGGATGAAGATGAGAAAGAAGAAGAAAACTGGCTAAGTGGAGACAAATTTGAAGGAGAAAACAAGCCTTCATCATCCATTCCTTTCTCCCCTACCCTTTCTTCTGGAGTCCCGGCTTCCACCTCATCCGTGCTGAAGATCAACGTTGGTGGCCAAAGCTACCGCCTTGCCTACCAGGCAGTGGCCATCTACCCCAAGACCCGCCTGGGACGCCTGGCTACCTCCACGGATCGGCGCTGCCAGCTGGGCCTGTGTGATGACTACGCTGCCCAGGTAGATGAGTATTTCTTTGACAGGGACCCAGCTGTCTTCCAGCTGGTGTACAACTTCTATGCCTCGGGTGTGCTGCGTGTACGGGATGAGCTCTGCCCTCGTAGCTTCCTGGAGGAGCTGAGCTACTGGGGTGTGCGACTCAAGTACACACCTCGCTGCTGCCGCATCTGCTTCGAGGAGCGCCGCGATGAGCTGACGGAGCAGCTGAAGGTCCAGCGTGAGCTGCGCTCCCAAGCAGAGGCTCAGGAGAACGAGCAGCTCTTCCACCACATGCGCTACTATGGTGCCCAGCGCTGGCGCCTCTGGAACCTCATGGAGAAGCCTTTCTCCTCTGTCACTGCCAAGTTGATGGCAGTGGCCTCCAGCTTCTTTGTGCTCATCTCCGTGGTGGCCCTGGCACTCAATACTGTGGAGGAGTTACAGCACGTAGACCAAATCAGCGGGGAGACCCGGCCTATCTTGGAGCACGTTGAGACCCTGTGTGTCGCATTCTTCACACTGGAGTACCTGCTGCGCTTGGTCTCCACCCCAGACCTGCGCCGCTTTGTCAGCAGCGCCCTCAATGCAGTAGACCTCATTGCCATCCTGCCCCTCTACCTGCAGATGGTGATCGAATGCTTTAGTGGTAGCGACGATCCTGGAGGTCATGGATCTCAGCACGAGCATGAGATCGAGACAGTGGGACGGGTGGGCAAGGTGGGACAAGCACTTCGCATCATGCGCCTCATGCGCATCTTCCGCATCCTCAAGCTGGCCCGGCACTCCACAGGGCTGCGTGCCTTTGGCTTTACTTTGCGCCAGTGCTACCAGCAGGTGGGCTGCCTTTTGCTCTTCATTGCCATGGGCATCTTCGTCTTCTCTGCCATGGTCTACACAGTGGAGCATGATGTCGCCAGTACCAACTTCACCAGCATCCCCCACGCTTGGTGGTGGGCTGCCGTAAGTACACGCCTTTCAACTTGATGGGTAGCCACAGACCCCCCCTCCCGTTTCCTCCCCTTCCTTGCTAGAGTTGCTTGCAGCCTTGAAAACAGCAGGCTCAGATCAGTGAACATCTGCTCTGAATTATGAGCTTATAGGACATATGCACTCACTCACGCACACACATACACTCATTCCTCTCTGTTGCAGGCTTAAATCAAGGCTTAATCAGGCAGTGTTGAAATTCCTGTCCAACCAAATGCAGACAGTACTTACACTTTTAAAGAAGTGGGCAAAGAGACAGGAAATAAAAGCATTTCCCCATTTAATCCTATTGCCAGTGTTGAAAAAAAAAACCAAAACAAAACACCCCAAAACAATTGAAACACACACACAAACAAAAAAAATTCCACAAAAAAAACCCAAAACCAACCAAAAAAAATAACCACCAAAAAATAAAAAGTGGGAAAAAAAAAGCTTTTATCAACCTTACTGGTTGCAGGTGGACACAGGATTTTCATTCTGGATAAGACATAGTTTATTAACTGTAGTGTGATCACTCAAATTTGCAAGGCAAAGCTCTCGCAGAGCTCTGACCATTACAAATTCATTAGGGCAAACAGTTGTCTGGACAAAAGATTATGTTTTGTTGTTTAGGAGGCAGCTCTAAAGTGTATGTCTACACACACACACAAAGCATTGGTGATTATTTATACCATGCCAGACTTGCAGAGAACTAAATACAAAAAGAAGTAGAAAGGCTCAAGGGGTTGATAATGGGATAAACTGCCTTCTACATCTAGGTCACTGGTTTGAATCCCACCTCACTTAGTACTGAGAGCTAGTTAATGTCACTTTGAATGTGTTTTTGCAGCCTCTGCCAGAACAAGTGTGATTTTAGTCCCATCCTAAGCACTTGGTGTGAGGGTAACTGGCTGAGTTTCAGCTGACAAGCCTCAGAAATTAAAACAGAATGACCTCATTTCTAGAGACTGCCTCCAGGTTAGTGCTCTAAGGCATTTGGACACATCTCCTTGAGAGGTTTGAACTATCACTGACCTGTAGTACACTGCGTTATGTGGAGGGCTGTTTTTCAGGCAGCATTTTCTAGGCGGTTGGGTTTGCTTCTTTCAGGGACATGAACAGAGACCTGTAAATTTAAAGTAATCCAGCTTGCTTAAATGCCTTCTGGCTCTGGCAGCATCCTGGCAGAGCTGTTGCAGCATCCCAGACTTGGAATTCACCTCTAAAAGGTTTGGGAAGCATTTCAACTCAGTTGGATTGCATTAACACCCAAGGGTACACATACCTTCACTTACAGAAGGCTCACCGATATTGTGAGATCTAAATGGTAGTTGTATCATTCAATGTGAGCTGTGAAGGCAAAAGAAACATTTCTAGGTTTTTCAAGACTAGCAGACAATGGAGAGGGAGCTGCAGGCTCTACAGAAATGCTTAACAGACAGTCCTCTTGTGTAGGTATGGCAGTTTCAGAATCATAAGTTTTACAGCAATGTTTTGGCAGGGAGGAGGGAAGGGCATTTTTCCAAGGGCACAGGGGAGAGGGGGAAGTTGATCCCTGCCTGTGCTAGAACTGCAGCCCTTTGGAGTTGGAAAACAATGGCTCTGCTACACTGCAGAAGATCTATAACATCCTGGATGAAATCTGAGGACACCTAGATTTTGCAGGTGCTGAAAGAAGGAAAAAGGCCCATATATTGGCTGTCCATAACACTGAGGATTGTTCTAGTGTGTCATCACATATACTTAATTTCCCAGCAGCTGATGCTGGCCTCCATAATCTGTGTTAATGGCAGGGCCTCAGGTGCACTTCTAACCCCTGAGCCTAGCAATGTGACTGACTATGTCCCAGTCAATTCCCTGGGGCAGGAAGCCCGTGCAAAAGGACTGGAAAGGAGTAAGATCTTCTCATGATAGATGATCAGCATAGGCAATGGATGCACCAAGATGTGTATGGATCCCACAGGACAGAAACCCCTACCCATCCAAAACTGTTTTTTCTGGCCAGCAGCCCTGGGAGTCCATGGCCTGTACTTCTGGTTCAGCAACAGCTGATGAGATGTGGTGGTTTCCCACACACACATTTATAGTGGTTCAGAGCATGGCAAGAAAAGTGGCCCTTCGGACATATCTATATATGTACATCCAGATGGACATGTGCTGAATATCCTTTAAGCTACCGTATGGGGAAGAGATAAAAATCAAAGAACACAGGAAAGAGTTTCTGTAATGTGATCTTCACAGTTCATGTTTAAATTACATATATAGATTATGAAAAAAGAAAAATAAATCTGTGCTTCACACATTACCAGAATAAGGACATGAGTCATAATTTGTTTTCTAAACGTACAGGATATATGTGAAATCTTTAGGGCTCATTTCTGGTAACAAGCTGGTAACACCAACTTGCAGACACACAATAATTTAGATACTCCTAAGAAACCTCTGCAACTATGACTACGTGTAAAAGGCCTGTTTGGCTGAGCAAGAGTCTCCAAAGGAGAAACTGTAACAGCACATTGCAACACTAAGGTATAAAATTCTTTTCCAAGTCTATGCATTCTTTAACAGTGAAAACTAGGATATCTAGATCACTCAAGTTTCATTAAAAGCCAACAGCATTCCCAGTCTCACACATACACACAGGACAAGTATCCCTCTCAAACTGTCACAGGCAATGTAGAAGACTATGCTTGCAGAACAGAACTTTATCAAAGGATAATGATTTTGTCCTGGTTGGTAAAGATAAACATCTTGCCTTCATCTCAGTATTTATTTTTGGATATATTTATCCTGTTTTATAATTCAAATCCAGTGACTTAATTTCCATTTAAGCAAGTGAGTAATCCTTTTTATTCCACAGGAAGCACCAGGTGCATCCTACAAATGTGCTTACCCAGTGCTGCCTCATATACCCTAATGCTTTCTTCATTTGAAACAACATTTTATTTAACATGTTAGAGGATGACAGGCTGCACATTCTGATCTTCCAAACACTTATTTAAGTGCTGAAGCCAACAGAGCATTACATTGAAAGTGCTATTGACTGTGGTTTATTTCTGCCAAAGTTTTAGAATGCTGTTTCACTCATACACATGATGTTGCAATACTGTGAAAAAAAATAAATAAAATTAATTGGCTGGAAAAGATCCCTTGCACAGACTAGGAAGTGCCAGATGGCAGAAGGCTGCAAGTTTTACCTGCCAGAGAAAAACAAATTATATTTACTTAATGTAAAAATTATAAACAATCAAGGAGTGTGCAGTGGACGTCTAGGAGATATTTTATGCTGACTGTTTGGGAGTGCACCAGATGCAGATGTAGCAACCCCATAAGCAAACATCCATGAATTTTTGAAACTAAATTTCACCAAAAAGTATTGCAGTACTTGGTATAGTTTGGGGTGTATATAAAACACCATTCCTTCATACATCCATAGGATAAAAAGAGAAAATGCTGATGGCTGAGAAGAAAAAATTATTTTAAAATACATAGAGAGTGTGGTGGGAAAACATACAGATTCATACAAAGCAGATATACAGAATGCCATTACTCCCATAAAAAAAAAATAATAAAAAAAAATAAAAAAATTTAAAAAATTAAACAAACCCCAAACCCTTCTTCAGAAGGGAATTTAGCAAAAAATTCCCACCTCTGTGCCTGTTGGCTAACAGCAATATTCCCTGCTGAAGGTATATACATCTTCTTTAATCTCTGACATACAGGAGGATCAAACTATTTAGTACTAAAAACATACGTGTTGTGAACATACAAGCTGAGTAAAAACTTCCTGACAATAGAGATATTTTTTTTCCCACAGCTCCTGGAAACTTCAAAGTCCTGGGTCACTTCTCTCTACATTGCAGAAGTTATAAAAATATATTTCACAATTAGCTGAAGAATTTAATGTGTTTTCCAATAGTTCCTAAAACATAAATGACAAACAAAGGTAATACTCAAAATGCAACCCACAGAATAAGTCCCAAAATACCGGGTTTTATTAACACTCAGGATTTAGACACAGAGCATCTGTTCTAAGAGAGATGATGAGGCAGCAGAGCTGCAGTTATCATTGGATTTGTGTAGTCAGGGACCCATCTCTATCTGTTCACCACAGCTAACCAAACCCACCCTCTGGACAGGCTGGTGTGAAAATTGTTTGGAAATGCCCTCTGCAGGACAAAGCTTTTAAATATCCTCTTGAATATTGTCAAGTTGCACTGTTGTCTTTCTGTACTGAGGGACTTCTTTTAATTAGGGATTTTTGCACAACATGAATAGTACAGTAGAAAAGGCAGCAGAGGCTGTTTCAGATTTATAATGGAAAGTGCAAACCCACTGATTTTAAATCTGTCTCTGATCCCTGAACATATTTGTTTATCTGTTTCTCCTCAGCTAATAAGCTGAATGTTTGTTTGCCTGTAGGTCAGCATCTCTACAGTGGGATATGGAGACATGTGTCCAGAAACTCACCTTGGCCGCCTGTTTGCTTTTCTCTGCATTGCATTTGGAATAATCTTGAATGGCATGCCCATCTCCATTCTCTATAACAAATTCTCAGACTATTACAGCAAGCTGAAGGCGTATGAGTACACAGCTCTCAAGAAAGAACGGGGGAAGGTGGACTTTGCACGGAGAGCCATGAAGAAAATATCTGAATGTTGTGGAGAAGCACACCCTTTGCCACAGCACTGATATAGTTTGTGCTGTGGATATTGGGAGGTAACAGAGAAGCCAAAGAAGAAAGAAGAAAAACACATTGGCCAAGCTAACTGAAGATAAACTGTAAAGGCCAAAAAAAGCCAAAAGTTGATGATGAAATCAATTCTGATGGGGATTTTTTTTGCTGTTTTTGTTTTGCATTTTATTTTGGGGTTTGTTTGTTTGTTTGTTTGTTTTTCTGGCTTTGCTAGGAAGTGAACAGCACTTAAGTGCTGACCAAGTATCTGAAATTACATTCTTCAGATAAACCACCCAGAAACTATGAATTACACCCAAATGAGGATGTAACCTCTTGCTACTGATTAGGTCCAAAAGAAATAATCAAACCCAAAGAAAACTAATTACTGCTGTTAAGGGTCAGCCAGCTCTCTGCAGTCCAGGCAGTCTCAAAAATTAAACAAATAGAATGCCCAATATACTACCTGCATTGCTAAAATTGGTTTTGCACCAGCTTTCAAAACCAGGAAAACAGCCTGGAGCATTTACCTGAATATTAGCAGCATCTGTAGTCTTTAAGCTTTCAGCTTCTGTTTCCACTTTCAGATAGCTATGCTTCACTGTTACAATTTTATTTTTCAAATATAGTGACCTGCAACTTATTCCCATTTTCATATCTAGACAATCAACACACTTCTTTCAGTATTTTCCCCATTGGCATCTCCATAATAATTTTCCAGTATGCCAAGATCTAGTGAAGAAGTCTGAAGTCTGAGTTGATAAATGTAATTGATCAATTTTGAAAATATTTCCAAACTGAAACCTTCTTTAGGTATAGGATTAAGTGATAAGCTAAATTTATTTTGCAGCATTTAATATACCTACCTATTGAATTGTTAGAATAGTAATAGGTCTGTAATGGGACATAAGTGTTAAAGCAGCACTTGAAAAAAGTATCAAGTGAAACATGTAATGGATCTTATCAGTACTTGCCTGTGAACTACTTTAAATATAATATAAAGTCAAGCTACTTTGTGTGGCACATACAGCTGTTATAGACACAGTTTTGACACCTTAGCTCAACCCCAGTAGTACCTTACTTCCTAATATTACTGAGCCTTCTTGAACAGCTGGATGCAATTTTTCTTGTATCAGAAACACCCCAAAACCTATGCAACAAATAAGAACAACAGTTAAATGGAATCAGAGTTTCATGTATTCATTTACAATATACCAGGAGTATTCTTTTTACACAAGAACAGTCATACCAATTTAGAAAGAGTAACCTAAACTACAGATCTGAAAGAACAGTTATTTTATTGATACTCAGATAGAGCTAGCTTTTTTAAAAAAAGAAAAAAAAAAAAAAAAAAAAAAAAAAAAAAAGAGGAAAAAAAAGGAAGCAATGGTAACAGCCACTGAGCCACAGATAGAACTCATGGCTGTTACTCACCAGCTATCTTGCAGAACAGCCTGATGGCAGAGATGCATTTTTAAATTCTTGAACTCTAATGTTGTGTTTGTGCTTCCCTGTTGAATGCAGATGGCTGCATTCAAATCTCAGAGCCACACTGGAAACAATGGTGTGAAGCTTAGTCTCGGGACAGCTGAGGGTTAAAAAGTTCATTAATTTTACCACGTCCATGCAAATTGTGTCAAGCATAGAGACATTTCTCCTTTCAGTGGTGATAAGGTAATTAGTAACCAAGTTGTTCTTCTCATTCTCTACCTCCAGACAAACGTATCATAAGCCCATCTGTCATTTTGTTCTTTAAGAATGACAGTCAGCACATTGTGTGCTGATCAGCTCTGTTAAAAGCTAAACCATGTCTTTAAGGCACAGCTGAGCCCTGGGAGTTGAATGTGATAGATGTTTGCTGTTCCGGACTGCACACAATGCAGCAGACACAATCCTAGCACTCACTGAGAAGAATAGCTGCTTTAGTTTGGCTCTAGGGATGGTATAAATTTGCATGGCTCTTCTGCACAGCAACAACAGGATGGGGAACTTCCTGAAATCCTGAAATCCTGAATCCAGGAAGCCTCTCTGTTAGTCACCCACTGCGGTTTAGGGAGGTGGCAAATTATAAGCATGCAAAAACAAAACTGCATTTATTTGCAACATGCAGCTTGGGCTAGATCCATTAAAAGGACTTTAATGTTACTGGTTACACAACATTATAAGATATGAGACACCCTAAATTAACACTTTTGGCTGAAGGAATCATTACTTGCATGTATATGCAGATGAGACGCAGATGCTCAGCCTTGCATGACAAACTCAGCACCTTCTTGTCACCTAGAGAAATCCAGAGCCTGAGTGAGCCCTCCCTTGGCTGAGACCACACAAATCACCCTCCTCCTTTTCTACCCCACTTGTCTCACATGCAGGTCACATTCAAGTAAAGGTTCTTCAAGACATATAAAAGAATAGGTTTTCCACACAAAACACAAGCAGGATAAAAAGGGCTGTTCTCTCTTTTATTAAAAGTCAGAATTCACTATCCTTGGTATGTGCTTTATTATCTGTCCAAAAAGATTTTAATGCACAAGTCCCATAGTGCTGGTCTAACTGTCCAAATACACCTTGGTCTCTCCCACCCGTCTAGCTGAAGCTGTTCCACTTTACGACCCATCAGGTGACGGTAAAACAAAGGCTTGGTGTTTGCAGCACTCAGCTGGGTGGAAAGGTGTGGGTCACAGGCCCTGCTTCAATAAAGAGCTGTGAAAACAGCCCAACCAATCAGCAAAATCAATCTTCTCTGGCCCAAGCAGTCTTTGATTGAAGTATTTAGTCTAGAAGGACTCCTGTCTGTCCCCACACACTGAAGCCACATCAAGCCAAAACTCTTACTTAGAGTACCCTATGGGCTTATGGTCATGTGCCAAAATGCTTGCAAGCATGGAGACCAATTTCTGTCCCATCAGGAGAAGAAGACATTGTAATCAGTACCACTGGGTCTCATCTGGATGCGCTGAATACTGACGCAGTAACAGCTTGGGCAGCTCAGCTTACCTAGTGGCTTCCTCATTCTCTTCTTTCTTAATGCATTTTGCCCTTTCATCTTTCCACCATCCAGTCCCACCATCTCACTGATAGCAGCTATGGTTCCTTTTGGTTTCTCCTATGTACTCACTCAACACACAAATGTGACGGTTTGGAGGAGCACTTAGATTCTTGGCTTGGTTTGGTGACCTAGCTTGAATTACAGAGCTCTGAATAGTGCTAGAGCTGAGCAACATAAGATAGATGGTAGAAATGGCAGAAGACTACACAAAGCAGAAGACTACACAAGCAGAAGACTACACAAAGTTGCTGGTTTTCTGTCTGTAACACGTGGTTTACCTTCTCTGTTGCACTCAGCAGGCGAGTGGCTCGTTAGTGCAGTAAAGCATTTTCCAGCAAACTACAAGTTAGTGTTTGGGTTGTGGGGTTGTGTCTTGTTGTTTTGTTTTGTTGTGTTTTGTTTTTTAAACAAAGACTCATACTTTTCTTATCTGGATTACCTTATGCAGCTTTCTGTTTTGTGGCTTAATTAATCTTATTTTAGGGGTGACAAGCAAAAGTCTGTGCATTTCAGTAGGTAAGAGTCTGCTCAAGTTGAGGTACCACTATATATCAGCCAGAAATTGCCCCAAATGCCCAAAGCTCTGTCAGTACCAGCAATTTCTGTGGATGGCTTCTAGCAAGGCCCTCCAAAAGGTCCTCTTTTCCTGTGAGAGCCTGTCTGAGTCTCATACCACACAAACAGGACCTCCAGCTGGCTCAGAGGAAAGAGTTCATATTGCCACAAAGTTTCTTGGGATAACATCCTGGAGCGTAGAGGGGCCCATGAAAGCTGGCTGATATTTAAGAATCCCCTTCTCCAGGCCCAAGAGCAATGCATTCCAGCTAAGAGGAAGTCAGGTAGAAACTCTAGGAGGCCAGTGAGGACGAGCAAGCAGCTCCTAGAAAAGCTCAGCCTTCAGAAGGAAGCATACAGGGGGTGGAAGCTGGGGCAGGTATCCTGGGAGGATTACAGAGAGGTTGCCCGAGCAGCTGGGGATCAGGTGAGGAGACCCAAATCCCTGCTAGAATTAAATCTCACCAGGGATGTAAAGAGCAGTAAGAAAAGCTTCTATAGCTATGTCGGGGATAAAAGGACAACCAAGGAGAGTGTAGGCCCTCTGCTGAAGGAAATGGGTGAGATAGTAAATACAGGATGTCCCGGCTGTCCTGGGTCACCTCCTTGTCCCCTGCGTACCTTAGCATGTCTTCTAGGAGGATCTGTTCCCTGATCTTCCCAGGCACAGAGGTGAGGCTGATATGTTGGTAATTCCCAGGGTCCTCCTTTCTACCCTTCTTAAATATGAGCATAACATGTCCTTCCTTCCAGTCCCCAGGGACTTCACCTGACTGCCATGACTTTTCAAACATCATGTACAGTGGTTTTGCAACTACATCCGCCAATTCCTTCAGGACTCTGGGATGTATCTCATCAGGTCCCATGGACTTGTGTATCTTCAGGTTCCTCAGATGGTCATGAGCCTTATCTTCACTCACAGTAGGGAGAACCTCGACAGTGTGTGCTTACAGCCCAGAGAGCCAAACACATCCTGGGCTGCATCAAAAGAAGTGTTGCCAGCAGGGCCAGGGAGAGGATTCTGCCCCTCTGCTCTGCTCTGGTGAGAGTCCACCTGGAGTACTGTGTACAGTTCTGGTGCCCTCAGCACAAGAAGGATATAAACCTGCTGGAGAGGGTCCAGAGAAGGGCCACCAAGCTGATCAAATGGCTGGAGCACCTCTGCTGTGAAGACAGGCTGAGTTGGGGCTGTTCAGCCAAGAGAAGAGAAGGCTCTAGGGAGACCTTATAGCACCTTCCAGTACCTGAAGGGCCTACAGGAAAGCTGGGGAGGGGCTTTTCATCAGAGAGGGAAGTGACAGGACAAGGGGTGATGGCTTTAAACTGAGAGAGGGGAGATTTAGGTTTGATATTAGGAAGAAATTCTTCACTATAAGGGTGGTAAGGAGCTGGAATGGGTTGCCCAGGGAAGTT